TGGAGGATGTATGGTGTGTGTGTGTGTGTGTGTGAGTATGTGTGTGTGTGTGTTCGAGCATGTACGGTATGTGTGTGTGTGTTTGAGCATGTACGGTGTGTGTTTGAGCATGTACGGTGTGTGTGTGTGTTTCTCACCGAGTCTCAGGCCGCCGGGGGTCAGTGCGCTCTTGTCTCCAGGGCAGGTGTTCTTGTTGGCTGTGATGGACAGCAGCTCCAGAACACGCTCGGCCCGCGCTCCGTCCATCCCCTGAGGCCTCAGATCCACCAGAACCAGATGATTATCAGTTCCTCCTGAACAAACACACACAACACTGATCTTCACTCAAACGAGTCCGTCTGCATAAAGATCTATGGTCACTTCAACAAATGTCCAGTTCCCAGATATTACAGTTTTTGATTATGAGGCTATTATGCATTAAATCAACATGAACAACCATTCACAGCCAATTCTACTGCCAAATTACATAGAACGAGATCTGAATTCTGAGTTTACATTTTGCCATTCTAAATTTGTCACAATTCTGACTTTTTTCCTCGCAATTCTGACTTTTTTGTTTCGAAATTGTGAGGAAAAAGTCATGATTAATTTTTTATTTTTTTTCCAGTTTTTTTTTCTTACATAATTTCTTTAGAATAAAGTTGTTGATGAAAAACTCAAATTAAGAGCAGGAACATGAATGAATCCTTATCACAGACTGTAATGACACGTTTCCACAGTTATTAACATTGTAAATCTAGCCAAATGTTTCACATTTTCATTTAAAAAAATTAAATGTACTAGAATTTATGTCAGTGTTATTTTAAAATCCTTGAGATACTATTATAGTTTTTCTTAATATTTTGAAAATTTTGTAATACCATCAAAACAATGGAAAACGAAAACATTTCTTACTGTTTGCCCAGTGTAATTAAATATGATGGCGTTGTTATCACAAATTGTGGATCAATTCAACAGAGATTTTGTCAATGCTGGCTGTGCCTACGAGAATAGTTCTGGTACTTCTAATTGTTCTCCTGTCAACCTGGCATCTGTTATTCATTCACCTGCCTTAGGTCCCCCCTCCTTCTCTTTTCGGTCGATACACGAGACCGAGGTACTTGGGGAATTGCTCAACCTGGATATTCATAAATCTGCTGGATTGGATGAATTAGATCCATTATTTTTAAAGAAAGCAGCTTATATGTGTCCCTGGAGCACAAAAGCAGTCTTAAGTCGCTGGGGTATATTTGTAGCAATAGCCAACAATACATTGTATGGGTCAAAATTATTGATTTTTCTTTTATGCCAAAAATCATTAGGATATTAAGTAAAGATCATGATCCATGAAGATATTTTGTAAATTTCCTACCATAATTATATCAAAACTACATTTTTTATTAGTGATATGCATTGCTAAGAACTTCATTTGGACAACTTTAAAGGTGATTTTTTCAATATTTAGATTTTTTTGCACCCTCAGATTCCAGATTCTCAATTTAAAAAAATTTACCCTTATGACTGGTTTTGTG